AATTTTAACACACACTGATCCAGAGATACCATATAATTAAATCAAAAGCACCTCAAAATCAGCATAAAGGAACTGAAAAATATGAATTATCCACACTAGTCCTTAATACCTTAAGGACACAATCCTATGCATGCTTAGGCAGAAAAATTCCATAGCTAGCTGGGCAATGCTGGGATTTGAGAATTCTTTTCTCTAAAAATGCACTGGATTGCATCCTAATTTCCCTAAAGATATCTTTAACAAGCAGAGAATGAGTCATTCCCAAAAGCCCTGAGAAAAGGCAGGCCATGTGAGAGAACACACTTCTGCAGCAGAAGCCTGTTTATGTGGTTGGGCCTCAGTTACTTCCTCAGGGGCAGGAACAATCTTGGGTCTGGATAATTTACTTATCTGGAACACTTTTCAGTTCAGTTGTGCTTATTAATTTAACAGTCTAAATTTTGTGAGGAGGCTTTATCCTAGCAAAATATGAACAGTAAATAACTGAAGGAATTTGGTCGTCACATAACAAAAAGGAAGAAGGCAAAAAGTTGCATACTGAGGATTGAATGGTAAGAAGCCTGAAGTTTTGCCATTGTTTTATTTCCCTTAGCTATTTCCCTTAGCTACAATTTGGCTAAAATTGGGAGGAATCAGGGGTGAAGCTTATGGATTTCGTAAATGGCCCACTACTTTTCCCTGCATAATGCCTCATCTGCACTCTCCCCTTCCCACATCATATTTCAGTTTCAGCCCCACATAGTGCCCTCCTGAGGTTGATAAAGATATTTGTAAATGACAGGCTAACCCAAATAATAGAATCATAGTAGAGCTGGAAGGGTCCAGAAGGCCATTGGGTCCAACCCCTGGTCAGTGCAGGACTCCAAGTTAAACCATCCCTCTCAGATGGCTGTCCAAATGTATCTTGAATGCCTCTAATGTGGAAAACTGGTCATTGGTTCCACTGTTGTACTGCTCTATGTCAGGACATTTATCCCGATATCTAGCCGGGATCTGGCTCCCTCTAACTTGAGCCCAATATTCCATGTCCTTCATTCTGGAACGATCTAGAAGAGATCCTGGCCTTCCTCTCCGAGACAGCTTTTCTCTCCGCAAGGCTAAACATGCCCAGTTCTTTCAATCTCTCCCCATAGGGCTTTGTTTTCAGTCCCTGAATCATCCTTGTGGCCCTCTAAACCCTTTCCAGCTTGTCTCCATCTTTCTTAAATTGTGAACAGAACTGTGCCCAGAACTGGACACAGTACTCCAGATGAGACCTAATCAGTACTGAGTAAAGGGGAACTAGTACTTCACGGGATTTGGAAGTGGTACTTCTATTAATGCAGCCTAACCGCATTTACCCTTTTTGTAGCCGTATCACATTGTTGACACATACTCAGCTTGTGATCTGCAACAATTCCAAGATCCTTCTTACCTGCAGTATTGTTGAGCCAAGTATTCCCCATCTTGTAACAATGCATCTGGTTTCTTTTTCCCAGGTGCAGAACTTGGCATTTGTCCCTGTTGAATGTCATCCTGCTGTTCTAAGCCCAGTGCGCTAACCTGTCAAGATCACCTTGAATCTTCTTTCTGACTTCCAGAGTATTAGCTATATCTCCCAGTTTTGTGCCATCTGTAAATTTGATCATCATTCCCTGTACTTCCTCATCCAAAACATTCATTAAAATATTAAAGGGCACTGAGCCCAAGACTAGACACTGCAGTACACCCCTTAGTACCCCTCCCCAGTTTGAGCAGGTGCCATTGATGAGCACTCTTTGAGTCCGATTTTGTAGCCAACTGTGGATCCACCTGATATTTGTTCAATCTAGCTCACTTTTTTTGCTACATTGCTAATCAAGAGATCACGGGGGACTCGTGACAAAGTTATGGTAAATCAAAATAGATTATGTCCATAGCAGTCCCAAAGTCTATTAGGGAAGTTACTCAGTCAAGAAATGAAATCAGATGAGTCTGACAGAGTTTGTTCCTGAAAATTCATTGACCTCTAGTAATCACCGCATTGTTTGCAAGGTATTTGCAGACTGACTGCTTTATCATCTGCTCCAGAATTTTCCCAGGGATTGATGTCAGACTGACCGATTTGTAGTTTCCAGATACTTTTTCCCCCTTTCTTGAAGATAGGAACAACATTAGCCCTTCTCCAGTCATCTGGCACTTCCCCTGTTCTCCATAATTTCTCAAAGATAATAGACAGTGGTTATAAGAGTTCCTCTGTCAATTTCTTTATGACTCTAGGGTGGAGTTCATCAGGCCCTGGAGATTTGCATTCATTCCACCCCGATCCTAGACCATTTGCCTATCAATCTTGCCATCCTGTTGTTCAACTTGTACTTCCTCTTTATCAGGAAGGTCATAGACCTTTTGGGAGAAGTAAGCAAAATAGGAATTGAGCACTTCTGTGTTTTCTTTGCAATCTGTTAACATTTTGCCATCCATATTGAGTAATTGAACCCCTATTTCTTTCCTCTTTTGCTTTGGGTGTATCTGAAGAAGGCCTTTTTGTTGCTTTTAGCATCCCTCATTAGCTTCCATTCATTCCTAGTTTCAGCCTTCCAGATGCCATCCCTGCAATTCCATGCTACATGCCCATATTCTTCCACTTCCTATATATGTCCTTTTTGTTTTCAGATGTTTTTAAGCTTTTTGTGAAGCTACATGGGCTCCTTCTGTTGTCTTCCACCCTCTTCTCTTGTTGGAATTGTTTGTAATTGTGCCTTTAGAATTGTAGTATGGCGCGATTTTACGGACGAGACCAGAGACTGGTTGGAATTTTCGAGAGGGATTTATTTTACCTGCCGGCAGGGACCATACACTCGTGAGAGTGTGGTGGCCGGCAGAGGAGAGACATTTGATTTTTATACTCTTTTACACTTATGCTTGAATGACAGCGAACAATAGGGGAACAACAGAAAAACAATAGGGGAGAGCACATTTTGCACATTTATCATGCAAAAGCAAGCAAGTGTGGGTACAAGGGCATAATGTCTGCGGTGATGCTGGTAATGCTGGAGCGAAGCCTGCTTTGTTGTCAGCTTAGCATAGCGTGCACATCCGTGTTCGTGTTCTTGTTCTCATGAGAACAAGAACACTCTGACCATGCCTCTAGCTCGTTGACGAGCCATGCCCTGGCTACGTGCTTGATCATGCCTGATCATGAGGGGGGTTACAACAAGAATTTCCTTTTTTTAATTCCCTCCCTCTTGAACTCCTTTTCTCATTAGAGTCACTTACCATAGGACTTCACTTATCATTATTTTGAGTTTATTAAAAATGGCTTTCTTTAAATCCAGGGTATATGCTTGACTACATTTGGATTTTGTTTCCTTTAGAATTAAGAATTCAAGTATGAATCAAAAAACCGTCCTAAGACACCAGTAATGGGACAGTATATAGCAGTTTGAAAGGAAGACACACAGACATCACTTTCCTCCAGAGTTTCTGTAGCTGCCACTTTCTCCACTAGGTCTTCCCTGTTGGTTAGTATTAACTCAAGGATAGCTGTTCCTCTTGTTCCTTCCTGCACTTTGTCTTGGATGACTCTCTAGGGGGATGGGTGTGTCTGGCAGAATTTGTCTCCCAACAGATATTGAGGGAATTGAAGTCCCTCATAACGATAACATCATGCCTCCTCGAAACACTGGCAATTTGCTTTTCAAAAGTGTCATCCTTGTCTTCTCCTTATTGGGTGGTTGGTAATAGACTCTAAGCACTCTTCCTTTTATTCTTTGCTCCATTTGTATTAATCTAGATGCTCTCAGTGGAACTACTAAGCTCATCCTCCTGTATTTCTGTTGTGTGACTCTGCCTCCTTTTCTGTTCCATCTGTTCTTCTTGAACATGTTATATTCCAATTGTTGAATTCCAGTCATGGGAGTCATCCCACCAAGTTTCAGTTATCAGATTGGATTCACCCTCCTGTATTAAGAGTTCAGAATCATGCTGTTTGTTTCCTGTACTCAGGGCATTAGTATATAGACACCAAAGACCATGTGCTTTATACTCTAGCTTTCTTCCTACATTTTTGGAAGACTCTGGTGGGCACTGTTAGAGCTGCTCTCTCTATTATGGTGCATTATTAGCCTTTGTCTGTTGTTATGTCCAGGTGTACTTCTACCTCCCATGTAGGATCCAGTTTAAAGCCTTCTTGATAAATTTCTTCATGTTGTGGCCAAACCCATTGTTTCTAGACCTTGTAAAGTACAACCCCTCCCTTGCCAGCAGTCTATCTTCCAGGAAATATAGCCCATGGTCAGAATCCAAATCTCTCACATTGGCACCCCCTTTGTAGCCAGGCATTCACTTCTAGTATTTTTGTTTCCCTGTCTATTCCCCTTCCAAGAACTGAAAGGACTGAAGAGAAAACTATATGGGCCTCAAAGTTCTCGACTTTCTTCCTTAAAACTTCAAAGTCTGATGTGATTTCTTCAAAGCTCCACTTGGCAGTGTAATTTTTTCCTGTATGTA